TATATATATATATATGTATACATATATATATATATGTATATATATATATATATGTATATATATATATATGTATATATATATATATGTATATATATATATATGTATATATATATATATGTATATATATATATATGTATATATATATATATATCTATTTTAAAAAAGGAATGGCCGAAGGCTATTAGACGAACCCCGACTATCCCTAGGTGAACTAAATATTCGAGTACCACACCCTACACAGGAATGACCGAAGGCTATTAGACGAACCCCGACTATCCTTAGGTGAACTAAATATTCGAGTACCACACCCTACACATGGGCATATGTATGTATGTATACATACATGTGTATGTAGACATACAGACATACATTTGTGAGTACCACACTTTATACATGGGTGTGTATATATATATATATATATATTCAAAAGAAGGAAAGCCGCCTCTCTGCTCCCGAAAAAATATACATATTTACCGAATCTCATTAAGTCTCTACCTGTTCTTCTAGTAAAATTATGTTTTGCCTAGAGCTGAAAGTTTTGCAGTTGAGCCTAATGGCTGCTAAAAAATTACAGATCTTTTGAAAAAAAAAACATTCTCTTCTACAATAAACTGAACAAACCTTGAGGAGTGTTATCAGTAAGGCCTGAGCTCATAAGATAAGACTCCACCATCATGATTTTGTCAGAGAAGTAGAGAGAAGGAAGCAAATAGTGAGCTGATTTATAAGAGGGAAAACATAGAGACGTCTGTGAGCTTCCAACTAGTAGCTTACAGGTGTTACTTTTTGCCTTTTTGTTGCTGAGGGGGAAGCTTCCTACTTCACTCTCTCACTGAAACTTCTTCTCTCTTAATTTAGCATTTTTCCTTAATTGTTCAAATTTACATGGCTGTAATGAGCTAAAAATTAGATATAAAAAAAACATTGCATTCATTGAGTGGATAAGGTTAACAGAAAAAAAATGCTAGTTTGGAATCACCATCAATCATCATTACAAAGGTAGGAAGGACATTCAATAATCATATGAAATTATTAGTGTTCTGTGCCCTTGACATAATGCATTTCTTTATTTTTTTATCATTTTTTTAAAGTGCAAATGATAGAAAAATTTTGATCCAATATATAAAAATATATATACACCCCTCAATTTTTATAGATTTACATATCTAATAGCTAAAATTTAAGGTATCATATACATAAAAATTAAAATGAAGGAGTTAGATTTGTAAACAAATAGAGATTGAGGGCGGGTATGGAGCGGCGGTGCAACGATGGTGTGGTGCCGCATCGTAGTTTTTTTAATTTTAGAAAATGATATTTTATGTGTTTTTTCAAAAAATCGTAGTGATAGTTGTACTGGATAAAGTGTGGTGACCGCTAAAAAGTTATTCTCTGATTTTCTTAATTTTTTTTATAGTCATCGTAACTTTTTGAACAACAACTTCTTCTGCAATTACTTTACAGTTGTTTCTTCAAATAGTTGCAGCTGTTACAAATAGATTCCATGTCTTTATGTATGTAAATCTTCCTCTCTCTCTACTCGTCATATACTTATTGTAAGAAAAAACCAAAGATTTTAAGATAAATCTTGTTCAAATTTAAAATTTATTATTAGACCTAGATATTTTTCATGAATATTTTGAACTTTATGAAAATGTGGACATGCTCCATACTATTCTGCCTAAGGTTGCCAGCATCTTAATTTATATTTGAGTGGCATTCAGTTATAGTTGGATGTCAGAATAATAATTGAGTGAGGGCAAGTCTTTGAGGATAAGCAATGAAAGTCATGCATCAGTACGTACATGACTTCTTTCATGTTAATTCAGATAGACTTTTCTAAGGAGCGAGAAATTGATGTCGTGAAGAGTTTGGTTTCCTTATTATGTAATATTTGACTGCTTTTTTTTTTTTTTTTTAATCTTGAAGGTCCATCAACACCACTTCATTATAATTAATATGAGTATTTACATAAATACCCTAACTTAAATTTATATATATATATATATATATATAATATTTCAAAAGGAATGGCCGGAGGCTATTAGATTAGCCCCGGCTATCCTTAGATGTGCTAAATGTTCGAGTGCCACGCCCTACACACGGGGGAATTTAAACCCTTGACTCGAGGGGACTTACGACCTTCAGAGAGGTCACAGAACAGGCACGTGTGTATAATAGATCCGTTTTCAAAATGCCACCATAACTCGAGCGTAATTTTTTGAAGTCATATTGACTTGAATCCGTCCCCAATATCTATATAAATTGACTTCGATCCGTCCCCAATATCTATAAATTGAATTTTACTGTCCGCTTCAATTTTGGCACCATGCATTCATTAAATAGGTTGAGATAATTTTAAAAATTAGGAATAACAACAAGTATACGTAGGATAATATGAAAATGAAAAAAAAAATCGAAAATATTTATGAAGAATAAATTCAATATTTCACATAATACTAAAAAAATAAACTTAAACTAAAGGTTCATAAAATTAACTCCAAATAATTAACCTAAAATCATGGAGATTGGAATTCATTTTTCACATATAAAATACAAAATCAATATTAATTTTAATAAAAAAAAAAATTAAATGATGCTATTCAGTAAACTTCAAGATATTTGTTTTTTGTATTTTAACTAGAAACAAATGTTCCCATTCTTTGTAAATGGCTTCTATTTTAACTAAGGGTGCGTTTCGGATAGCTTATTTGCAGCGGTGACGTTTTCAAAACGCCACTTCCAGTTTGAAAATTCCATTTCACCAGCGTTTTACAGAACTCCGTTTTTATTTTACTATTAGACGCGGATCGCGGGTATGACCCCACGATTGGCGTTTAACAGTGTTGAAAGGCGAGTACTGCCCTCCTCGGTCCTCCTCTGCCCTAATTTCGCAACAAGCGGCGACTCGAACTCCCTCTCAGATCCCGCACGTCTCCGTCGCTTCATCAGTGTATCCCTCCTTCTCCTGCAATTGATCCGCGTATCTACCAAACAACTGCAGCTTATCCAGAACAGGGTCAGATTGGTCATTTTTCTAGAATCAATTGTTCTCTAAATGAACAAACCAAACAGACAAAGAGTTTATCCAGATTAGTTGCTTATCACCAGATTATCAGGATAAGTTGGATAAGCTGTAGCTGTGCCAGACAGACCCTAAATTGACGTGGAAATGGATTGCGGACCCCTATAATTCAAATTTCTTAACAGCTAAAAAAAATTAAAATAAAAAAAATAATGGCATTTTTTTGGTGGGCCATCATTTTGTGGAAAGGTACTCCCTTGCACCCTAAGCCTGTACATTCTTCAACCTTCCAGACAAAGCCTTCCACCAACAAAGGCAAAATAGACAGGTCTACAATGCCCATTACTCCCTAAATCAAATTTTGAAGGAAAAAATAAAAGGTATTTACATATATTCCGCACAAATATTGTATATTTACATATCTAACACCCTAACTTTCATATTTACAAGAAGAACACTTAATCCTTAATATCACATAAAAACATTGCCATCACCTACTTTTTAAATGTGGAATACAACTTTTCAAACATGCTTGTATCACATCAAATTGTAATGCATGTAAATATGTAACTTTAGGTGTTAGATATGTAAATACATAAAATTTGTGTGGTATGCATGTAAATTTTACTAAAAATAGCGGTCAGAAGTTTTTGAAATTTGATATTATAATGATTATAAAGTATTTCTTGATGAGACGTTTGAGATTTGAAATCATGAAGACAGCATCTTAATGATGAAATTAGCACTTCCGATTTAAAAATATTTGAAGCCTAATGCAATGATTGTAAGTATTAGAAAATATATTTTATTTATTCGATTTAAGAACAAATATATGGGTGCGAATATACTTTTATATTTCAAATAGGATGCTTATAATTATCCAATTTTATTTTTCTTAAAATCAATACTAAATAATTGTGAGCGGAACCAACATTATTTATTAAGGAATAAAATTATCAAATATTTAATTTTTTTTTGCAAGTATTGGGAAAAAAAATTAACAAGTGTAGAGAAAAGGCCATACTAAAAATGACAATGTTAGAATAGGCCGTTAAAATAGAAAGATGGAATTATAAACTATTTTAATATAGGAATGTGAGTCTACAATAAAAAACTAAATGCAAAAATAAGAGAAGCAGGAAAACTAATAAATCATAATTGAGAAGCTAAAGGGGTGGGCCAAATATAATATGACTTCTATTTTTGAAAGAATGTTTGAAGAAAATTAAGGGTCTGTTTGGGGCAGCTTATTTGGTCAGAGAAGTAGAGAGAAGGAAGCAAATAGTGAGCTGATTTATAAGAGGGAAAACATAGAGACGTCTGTGAGCTTCCAACTAGTAGCTTACAGGTGTTACTTTTTGCCTTTTTGTTGCTGAGGGGGAAGCTTCCTACTTCACTCTCTCACTGAAACTTCTTCTCTCTTAATTTAGCATTTTTCCTTAATTGTTCAAATTTACATGGCTGTAAT